ATAGTTGTATGTCATAGTTGCACATCCTTCTAGCTGTTGTATGTGGGACGCGGCCTCAGCATGGCCGGAGAAGCTGTGCATCGGTGCACGCCTGGGATCCGAACCCGGGCCACCAGTAGCGGAGCACGCGCACTTAACCACTAAGCCATGGGGCTGGCCCTGGATCTCTTCTCTTTTTCTATGTACATTCATTACCTTGGGGATCACCAGTCTCAAGCTTTAAATACAATCTATGTATTGAACACTCCCAAATCTGTATTTCCAGGCAGGACCTCTTTCCCCTGAACTCTAGACTCATATATCTAAAAACCAACTCAGCATCTCCACTTGGATGTCTGAAGCATATTAAACATAACACATCTAAAATTTAACTCCTGATATTTCCTCCCAAAACTGGATTCTCCCACAGTCTGCCCCATCTTATTTCCTAAAACTTCATTTTCCAATTACCTTGGTGTCTTCTCCTTTCTTATACCCCACATCTTTCAGCCAATGTTGGTGGTTCTATCTTTAAAATTCAGAATTATTCTCCTTTACTCTTTTTCTCATTCTATATTTTCTGCTGCCTGCCACCTAGTCCAAGCCCCTAAAAGCTCCCAACTTAGTCTCTCTTCTTTTGCTCTGGGCTCCTATAATCTATCACAGCAGCCAGAATGATCCTTTAAAAACAGAATTCAGATCATAACTCTGCTCAAAACCTTCCAGTGGCTTCCTATCTCATAGGAACAACCTAGTCATACAATGATCTACAAGCCAGCTCTACAAAGTCTGTCCCCCACCCCAATCTTTCTGGCCTCATCTCTTTCTACTCCTCTTCTGACTTACTTCACTCCAGCCATACAGCTCCCTGTTGTACCTCAAATACATCAGCAAGAATCCCACCTCAAGGACTTTGCAATTACTTTTTCTTTACATGGAATATTCTTCCTTTGGACATGCCGATATGCACATGATCTGCACTAACTGGTTTCCTTATCTCTTCCAAGTGTTTGCTCAAGTCACCTAATCTTAGTGAGGACTTTCCTAATAATCTAACTGAAAATCACAACCTCCCAACCCCTAACATGCCCCATCCTCATTCCTGATTTAATTTCTCCATAGTACTTTTCATCTTTTAACACACTATTCAGTTTACTTATTTAGATTATCGTCTGCCTCTTCCCACTAGAATGTGGTGCCACAAGGACACGAATTTTTGTTTGTTTTGTTCACTGGCATCTCCCAAGCACCAAAAACATACCAGGATGTTACAGATCTTCACTAAATATTTACTGAATGAATATAATAACACATTGGTGATTAAAATGAGAAATTATTAATACTGTAATACAGTGGTTCCCAAACTTTGCTACACATTAGAATTAGCTACAAAGCTTTTTTTAAAAAAACTGTAAAATATAAGAAATACAAGTCAGACCTCATACCAATCAAATCCAAACACTTAGGAGTGGAAGCCAGGCTTCAATATTTTTTAAAAGATTCAATGTGTAGCAAAGTTTGGGAACTACTGTGTACATTCTCAACCCCTTAAGTACATCAGAATAATGTGGAGAGTTTTCATAAAAATATCTGATGCAAGGGCACTTCTATCCCAGATTCCAAATAAACTGGTCTAGGGTAGAGCCTGATCTCCAGTTTTTTTGTTTTAAGTTCCCAAAGCAATTCTAATGAACACACCAGGTTGAGAATTACTCACTTAAACAAAGGAAGCACTGATCCAGCCATGGGATTCCACTCATATAAATACCAAAACATAATCATTTTCAATAAAAGCTCAGATTTGATCTATGCCCATGTTACAGCCCAAGGAACATATCATGCTAGATAATCTACTTTCAATTTGAATCAAAGAATATAAATTTAAATTTTCATTTTATATTAATTGAACCAATATTTGTAAAACACATTTTTTATTAAGGGGAATTAATCCAAATGCATCCATCAAGATAATCAGAATGGTAATGAAAACGAGATAGCAGAAAATGTATCAATTAAATTGGTTATTCTGGACTTATGTTGGCTATCAAGGGAATCACTAGAATGGGAAGCCCCATGAGGACAGGATTTTTGTCTCCTATACATAGAATACTGCCTAGCACATATAGGCCTCAATAAATATTTGTTGAAAGAATAAAGGAAGAGAATCCTGGGAAGTAATACTATTATATATGGAAAATAATCCACTATTCCAATGTAGCCTATGTATTTTAATTTACCCTGCCTACTTCCAAAAAAGAAAGTGAAGCAGCTCAGAATAAAGATATTAAAGCATCACAATCATTAAATTACTGACAGAAAATATAGAACAAAAAGAAACGAGAGAGAATAATTTTTGGGAGGCATCTTAAACTAAGATTGCTATTTCTCTGTGTAGATTTTATAACATTGTAACCAATGCAAACAATTTGAAAATATTTTTACTCAATGTTAAAATGGCAAGAATTTTTTATGTTGCTACATTTTTTACAAATATCTATACAACATTTAATCATGTTGATATTATTTCCTTAGCAATTTCTATATTGTTGAACATTTAGATTATTTCTGGTTTTCTACTTGTAGAAATAGCACTATCAAAAATACTCATGAGGGCCGGCCCCGTGGCTTAGCGGTTGGGTGCGCGCGCTCCGCTGCTGGCGGCCCAGGTTCGGATCCCAGGCGGGCACCGACGCACCGCTTCTCTGGCCACGATGAAGCCGCGTCCCACATACAGCAACTAGAGGGCTGTGCAACTATGACATACAACTATCTACTGGGGCTTTGGGGGAAAAAAAAAATAAATACTCATGAATATTTTCTCCTTTTAGATAATTTCATCTGTTATTTATAACTCTTATATGTATTGTCAAATTGCTTTCCCAGGATGCACTCTTACACTTTCCATTAACCCTGCAGGCTATACCAGCTCTACAGCACCTTCATTCTGCAGGGAGTGCTGGAGTTTCGTTTACTAACTCACTGCTTTTTCTTTTTTATTTAAGAAAAACTTTGATTATAGGAAAAGTAGGAAAAAAAAACACAAATAAAAAATATACATGACCTATAATCTCATGATTCAGAGATAACCCTATTAAAATTGGGGCACATATTCTTTTGTCCTTGTGAAAAATTAAGAGTGGCGACACTTACCATCTTCATATTGTTTTTTCCGAGTTGTACTTTTATCAAGTGATCCATCTAGAAAGCCTTTTCCAATCTCAGACCAAACCTGAAAATAGGAAAACATATCTATTATCCGATAAGTAGGTTTTCTAAATAATACCGAGCAATCTAAGCTAATAATTAAGGAACTCCTGTCTCACCAACAGATCTGAGAAGTAAGTTCTCCCTTTTAAGTGGGCTGCATACTCATTTATTCCATCGTCTCTGAGGATAAGGCACAAATATATTTTAATAATTTCAGTGAAGGCATTTCCAAATCAATTATAATTGGAAAGTCAAAAGTTCCTTTTCTTTAAAAGGAGCATGAATGGGGAGGAAAAGAACATGGCAATAGAGTCAATTTTCAATTTTTTATTATAATTGCACCAGTGGATAAATAAAATTCATGAGGAATTCCAAATTTTTACTTCACCTGTGATACTGATAAGCATTGGCTGAGATCCAGAAAAAAGTTAAAAATTAGTCAAGGTTTGGACACAGTAAACAACAGAATAGGCTTCCAATTATTTCAAAATTGGGTAATTAGCCCCTGAAAAAACTTTAACTTGTTTATTATTCAAAAGTTCTGAAAGAACTTGGGGAAAGAACACAACACTTATTAATGAATGCTAAATATTGAAAAATCATTAATAGAGTTCAGAGTCCTCAACTCTTACCTAACAAAGATAAACCTTTCAGAGACTTAAATGTAAAAAATTAAACAATAAAAGTACTGTAAAAAGGTACAGTAAATGTTTATATTAGGAATACTCTTAAAGCAAGAAAGGAATTTCTAAGCATGACACAGAGATCAGGGCAAAAATTCACAACGAAAAGTTGAATTCATTTAGCTACTCCATCACAGCAACAAAAAGCTGAACAGACTGAAGGAGTCAACAACTCTTCTTGGCCCGCTAAGACATGGGAGAACTCGGGGCAAACTGAGGCCCCCAAGACTGGAGAGACAGGAAAAAACAGGGAGTCATGTCTTACTGGAATAGACTCACAAGCAACAACCACCTTAGGAACCAGTGCTGGGGTGGGAAAACCTGAACTGTATTGACGAACTGCTGGAGGTTCAGTAATATACAACTCTGAGAGTTAAAAACTTCTGGGGGACCCAGTCATGGGGGGCTCCCCAAAATATTGTGAGATTTACCTCCAGGAGCTTGACCAGGTTCCCATGATATATATTGAAGAAAAATCCCCTTGGGCTTCCAGCAGGGGGATTGAAAAAGGAACCAATGTGAAATAAGCCAGAGCACTCTGCTCTTAACAAGGCCTGCCCTCAGAGGAAGGTAGTTAGCCAGAGCCTAACCTGCTGGGGTATTATCAGAGCCTAATGGACCTGGGGAAGGGAAACATCCAACTCCAGTCAGGCCTGGCCTTCCATGTGGGGGAAAGGAAATACCAAACTCTAGCCTACTCCAGCCATCCTGTCCCACCTAACAGGGGAGAAAAAAACTGAGAAACCCCGTGAGGGCCGGCCCCATGGCTTAGCGGTTAAGTGCGCGCTCCGCTGCTGGTGGCCCGGGTTCGGATCCCAGGCGCGCACCGATGCACCGCTTCTCCAGCCATGCTGAGGCTGCATCCCACATACAGCAACTAGAAGGATGTGCAACTATGACATACAACTATCTACTGGGGCTTTGGGGGAAAAATAAATATATAAAATTAAAAAAAAAAAAAAAAAGAAACCCTTGTGAGGTTCACAGTCCAAAGGCACCGGCTCACTACAAGACTAAGACCTAATCACAGGACTACGGAATGCTTCCCCTTTCCCCACACCTCACCACCACATCACTAAAGGCCTATTTACATGAGTTTCTTCTACCCAGTAGATCATGCCTAGCTTTCAAGAAAAAACTACAAAGCATACCAAAAGGCAAAAAACATAGTTTGAAGAGACAGAGCAAGCATCAGAACCAGATGTAGTAGGGATGTTGGAATTTTCAGACCAGGAATTTAAAGCAACTGTGATTAATATAGTTAAATTAAAATTTTAAACAACTATGATTAATATTAATAAGGGCTCTAAAGTATCCTTAGGTAAAAGATAAAGTAGACAGCATGCAAGAACAAATAGCCAATACAAGCAGAGAGATGGAAATCCTAAGAAAGGAGCAAAAAGAAATGCTAGATATCAAAAAACACTGTAACAGAAATGAAGAATGTCTTCGGTAGGCTTATTCCCTCACAGCTTAGGAAAGAATCTCTGAGCTAGAGGACCTATCAATAGAATCCTCAAAAACAGTTTCTTAGGGGGCCGGCCCCGTGGCTTAGCGGTTAAGTGCGCGCGCTCCGCTGCTGGCGGCCTGGGTTCGGATCCCGGACGAGCACCGACACACCGCTTCTCCGGCCATGCTGAGGCCGCGTCCCACATACAGCAACTAGAAGGATGTGCAACTATGACATACAACTATCTACTGGGGCTTTGGGGGAAAAATAAATAAATAAAATCTTTAAAAAAAAAAAAAAAACAGTTTCTTAGAAAACTAAACATACTCTTACCATATGATCCTGTAATGGTGCTCTTTGGTATTTACCCAAAGGAGTTGGAAACTTATGCCCACACAAAAACCTGCACACAGATGTTTCTAGCAGCTTTATTCATAATTACCAAAACTTGGAAGAAACCAAGATGTCCTTTAGTAGGTGAATGGACAAACTATGGTACATCTAGACAATGGAATACTGTTCAGTGCTAAAAGAAATGAGCTATTAAGCCATGAAAAGACATGGAGGAACCTTAAATGCATATTACTAAGTGAAAGAAGCCAATCTGAGAAAGCTATATACTGTATGATTCCAACTATATGACATCCTGGAAAAGGCCAAACTATGGATACAATAAACATATCAGTGGTGGCCAGGAGTTGGGGGTCGGGGGGGGGGGAGATGAAGAGGCAGAGTACAGAGGATTTTTAGGGCAGTGAAAATACTCTGTATGATATTATAATGATGGATATTTGTCACTATATATTTGTCCAAACCCATTGAATGTACAACACCAAGTGTGAACTCTTAGGTAAACTATGGTTTGGATGATTATAATTTGTCAATGTAGGTTCATCCTTGGCAAAAAATGTACCATTCTGGTGAGTGACGTTGATAATAGGGAGGCTATGCATGTGTGGAAGCAGGGGGTACATGGGAAGTCTCTGTACCTTCCTCTCAATTTTATTTTTTTTCCTCTCAATCATATTTTCTAAAATTGCTTTAAAAAAATAAAGTCTTTTAAAAAAAGCACTATACATAAAAACAAAGCAAATGAAAACTAGAGATAAAAATAAAGAGCTCCTGCAGATCAATAAGAAAAAGAAACACCACAATAGAAATATTGGCAAAGGACATGAATACAAGTGTTCCACAAAAATATTAAATGATGTTTAACCTCACAAACAATGAAAGAATTATAAGTTTTTTGTGTGTGTGTGAGGATGATCAGCCCTGAGCTAACACTGGATGCCAATCCTTTTTTTTTTTTTTGCTGAGGAAGACTGGCCCTGGGCTAAGATCCATGCCTGTCTTTCTCCACTTTACATGGGACGCTGCCACAGCATGGCTCGACAAGTGGTGCATCGGTGTGTGCCCGGGATCCAAACCTGTGAACCCCGGGCCACCGCAGCGGAGTGCGAGCACCTAACCGCTGTACCACCAAGCTGGCCCCAAAAGAATTGAAAGTTTTGATTATGAAATATTTTTTACTTATTAGATAGGCAAATATTTAAAGGATCAATAATTCTCAATGTCAAAAGCACAAGGAAAGAGCACACTAATGTTGGTGGGAAAGTAACTGAGACAATGTTTTTGGAGGGCAGTTCAGTACGCAACCAAATGTGGGGTGTACATTTTTTCACAGTTTAACAACTGTGAGGTCAATATGCATCTTACAACTGACGACATCTTCCAACTGCTGTCAGCCAGGCAGCAGCCACGACGCTGCTGTCACTGCTTCTGCATTCACAAACTGGTTATTATTCCTGTGCATGACTGGACAACAGCAACTCCTTGGTGCTTCAGACGTTAAAAGATCATCTCAGGAAGGATTTTAAGCCACAGCCGTGGGGTTTGTGGTCTGAAAACTTTCCTTTAATAACTTCTAGTAACATTAAGAAAATAGCAGATTCCTGCTAAAATACACAACCTGAATCTACTCAAACCCAAATTGAGGGACATTCTACAAAATAATTGGCTTGTACTTTAAAAAAAAGTCAAGGTCAAGAAAGAAAGAAAAGCCGAGGAACTGTTCCACATTAAAGAATTTTGACCACCAAAAGTAAAGAAATCTGAACATGAGCTCTGGATAATACTATTGTATGAACGTTAAATTTCCCAAGTTTGAAAACTATGTTGTTGCTATATAAGAGAATATCCTTGTTTTTAGGAAATAAGAGACTGAAGTATTTAGGGGGAAAGAGGCAAAATCTCCACTTTACCCTCCCATGGTTCACATAATGGGGGAAGGAATGAATAGATAGATGGGTAGACGGATGGATGGACAGATGGATGAACAGACAGACAGTGAATGAATGACAAAAGCAAATGAGGCAAAATGTAAACAACTGAAGAATCTGGGTAAAGGGAAATGGGAGTTCCTTGTACTGGTTGCAACTTTTCTGTTAAGTTTGAAATTATTTCTACTTTGAAGTTACAAGGAAGGAAAGAGAAAGGAAGAGAAAGAAAACGCCAGCATAAAATAGGTATAGATAGCAGGGTAGAATAAAATCTTGGAAACGACAGTGAAGGTCTTGTTTTAAAAAATGCTCTCGCCAACGTGAAAAAAATCACATATCAACTGAGTCAAAAATTGATTCTTCATTAAAATACGAAGACATTTTAGGAATTCCTTAACCAATTTATTTCACCTGCGTACAAAGAGTAGTTTACTCTAGGAAGTAGAACTTAGAGTGATTTTTCCACTTTTATTTTTACACTCCTGAATATATGAATGTTTTATAAGAAACGTATATTTTTTAATCATCAAACAGAACTAAAAAAAATTTTTTTTTTTCCTGAGGAACACTAGCCCTAAGCTAACATCTGTGCCCATCTTCCTCTATTTTTTTGTATGTGGGATGCTGCCATGGCGTGGCTTGATGAGCGGTGCATAGGTCCGCACCCAGGATCCGAACCTGCGAACCCCGGGCTACCAAAGCATAGTGCACGAATTTAACCACTACACCACCGGGCCAGCCCTACTAATAAAATCATTTTAATGGGAAAAAGTATAATATTAAACAGTGACAGGGTGTTAAGCCACAGTTTCTAGTGATTTTCATTTTAAACACACTATCTTGATAATTTAACTTGTTTTTACACATTTGAATAAAATAAGGAATAACTTTCTCAGAGATTCAAAACACAGTAAATGACATAAGTATGATTTGAACCAAACAAATTTAATGTTAAGCTTGATAAAAATAGAAAATAAATAAATTCCACATGTGAATCTAGAAAAGGCAAACAGTAAATCAATTTTAGACTGAATTAGGCTTTCTTCAAATCACATTCATTTTATTAGCATTTTAATGCTCCATTGGCTTTGTTTAACTTCTTTCTATATAGGACACAGTCTAGTTCTATTAAATACAGTTTTTCTCTTTATTCTAGAATTCAGTATTATAACATATTTGCTAAGTATTAAAAGAAAATTTCTTTAGTCATCCAGTTTTTAAATTTCAAAAAGTAATTGCTGGGCCGGCCCTGTGGCTTAGTGGTTAAGTGCACGCGCTCCGCTGCTGGCGGCCCGGGTTTGGATCCCGGGCGCGCACCGACGCACCGCTTCTCCGGCCATGCTGAGGCCGAGTCCCACATACAGCAACTAGAAGGATGTGCAACTATGACATACAACTATCTACTGGGGCTTTGGGGGAAAAAATAAATAAAATTATAAAAAAAAAAAGTAATTGCTTAAAAGACTTATTTCTTAAATTTTTAAAAAGACAACAATTATCTTTGCTCGCGCTGTTGTTTTTAGCCCAAAACAGGGAAATTCTATACTACAGAACCTTTTTTATTTTTTTTATTTTTCACCCCAAAGCCCCAGTAGATAGTTGTATGTCACAGTTGCACATCCTTCTAGTTGCTGTATGTGGGACGCGGCCTCAGCATGGCCGGAGAAGCGGTGCGTCGGTGCGCGCCTGGGATCTGAACCCGGGCCGCCAGCAGCGGAGCGCGCGCACTTAACCGCTAAGCCACGGGCTGGCCCTGTACTACAGAATCTTTAACTATCTTCTTGAGAGGCAAAGTCTACATTATTCAACTATCCAACTTGATGAAAGAATAATTTTAAATTTGGCCCTAGACTTACTGTGCCATGATTCTTCTGGAAGCGAATGACTTCCTGGTCGTCTTCAAACGTACTACCCATTACCATCTGTGTAACAGACTTCATAGCAAAACCAAGCATATGCTGGCAGAGGGGTACATGCTGGGACTCTGGGTAAGAGAGCCATTTATCTAATAATTCTTCTGAAAGCTGAAAGACAACAGAAAACCACAATGATTTACTATTTCCCCTCGCTAAATCTTAGAAAAAATTCAGCAAAGAGATTCATTTCAGAGTACACAGTTCAACTCTGTAATCAAAGTAAGCATTCAGGTGTTTACTTGCTCTGTCAGGCTAACACGGCTCCATCTATACCTACATCCTCAACTGCTCAGGTTCAGAGTCTGTGAAAGGGCTGAACTGCAAAGCAAAATGAACAACCACAACAATAAAAACAGAAAAATAAATTAACAGATCACAGACTGGAAACACCTTAAACCTAATGGAAATTAAGAGACTAAAATCTTAGTATCTAATTAAAAATAGTAAAGGTTCACCACAGAGTGCCTACGATTCAGTAAACAATCAATAAACATATGAATATATAAAAGTCCTAGACACACTGCAGTGACAGAAACCTCTCAGGGTCTCTCGGTCATCCTCTCATTCAACAAACACTTATTAAATCCCTTGTGGAATAAAAACAATGCGTAGTAAAAAGATCAAAAGCTTGGAGTCAGAAAAACCCTGGTTTTACTTCTGGCTCTGTCACTTAGAAGAAATGTGACTTTGAGCAATTTGTTTAACTTTTCCAAGGTTCAGGTGTCTCAACAGTTACATGGAGATGACATCTCCTACCTTGCATGGTTGCTGGGATAATTATACCCATGTCACATAATGCAGTAAGGGTTTTGTCAGGTAATATATATAAAGCCCCTTTCATGTTAGGAACTCAAATTTAAGCTCCTTTACCATATCAATTCCATGAAAGTTTTGACACAGTATAAAGGGTTAAAATTAAATTTTGTGAGAAACAGAATAAACAATCAAAATGAAAAGATTAGCACTGCATAGGTTTACACCTACTTAAAGCGAAGTATATGGAATATAACACTTTTTTTTTGGAGAAAGGAAAGGAAGCCTTAATGATTCCACAGTATGAAGATTAATGAATTGAGCCAGTTAATATACTTTAAAAGAACTCTGAGACTTGGGTGAAGTATGAAGAAAACAGGAAAATAATGATTAAAATGGAACATAAGTATATAATTTAAAAATTACTTTTGTGTTACTAACAAAATAATTCCATGTACTTTAAAAAAAGTTAGAATTCTATAGTTAATGAAGTCACATAGCTTCCTTTATACTAAAGATTAAAATAAGATTTTGGAAACAAACCATTAAAGCAAGGTTATTTCTAGGTAAAAACAGAAGAGCCAATATAAATTCTACCTATAGGTAACAACAGAGTTCTGAATGTGAAGGTAAACAATGGGGAAAAAAGCCTTCCTGTAGAAAAAAATAAAACATTAACAGATATAAGATAAACCCATAAGATTTCCTTTCTGTAAATTTTTTTTTTTTTGGTGAGGAAGATCAGCCCTGAGCTAACATCCATGCTAATCCTCCTCTTTTTGCTGAGGAAGACCGGCTCTGAGCTAACATCTATTGCCCATCCTCCTCTTTTTTTTCCCCCCTTTTTCTCCCCAAAGCCCCAGTAGATAGTTGTATGTCATGGTCGCACATCCTTCTAGTTGCTGTATGTGGGACGCCGCCTCAGCATGGCCGGAGAAGCAGTGCCTTGGTGTGCGCCCGGGATCCGAACCCAGGCTGCCAGTAGCGGAGCGCGTGCACTTAACTGCTAAGTCACGGGGCCGGCCCCTTCTCTAAATATTTCTAAATATTTGCTTTCAGAAAACATTATTTTTCTTAATGCATGGGATTTTTGCCTCAAAACAATTCTAAGAAAAGTACACAACTTGCAAGCATCTCAGCTTCATGCACAGAAACAGGAAGCCCAACCGAGTGTCAGTGTTCACTCACTGAGATACTGAGCTGCCAGACCTTCCCTTCTTCATCCCTCCCTCTGCTCCTGAATGTCTGACTCTACAGAGGCCTTTCTAAGTCGTCAGGCCTAACGCCATGCGACAAGCCGGCACTCTCAGCATTTACAGCCTTAGTGTTGAGCCATTTGTCAGAATTTATTCCAAGTACCACACGTTAATGCTGAGCCTTGATCTTTATGCTTAAGGTAGAATTTTTAAAGTGTGCATTCCATTGATTAATTTGTTCATTTAACTTTCACAAATGGTTACATTGTTGTCTCATCATTAAGTACACACGTCTTTTTTCCACAGATTTGAAACGCCACTCATTATACATTGAAGTCCTATATGAATTTGGGACTAATTCTGAACATTGTCTATTTCGTTGATCTACACATATGCCACTATCGTAGTTTTGAAAATTTATTTTATCTTTATAATGTTTCCTATTACTATTCTCTTTCAAAATGCTCCGGAAGAGAAAAAGACTTCCAGAATGGTGAAGTGAGGACCTTGGTGATCTTGCTCTCCCCCCAAAACAATGAAAATATGTGCAAAATAATGAAACAACTAAAACCAGGGGGCCAGCCTGGTGATGTAGGGGTTAAGTTCACATACTCTGCTTCGGCAGCCCGGAGTTCGCAGGTTCAGATCCCGGGCACGGACCAACACACCGCTTATCAAGCCATGCTGTGGTGGAATCCCATATAAAGTAGAGGAAGATGGGCGCGGATGTTAGCCCAGGGCCAGTCTTCCTCAGCAAAAAGAGGAGGATTGGCAACAGATGTTAGCTTAGGGCTAATCTTCCTCACACACACAAAAAAAGAAAACAAACAACTAAAATCAACCATTTCAGTACTATGCAATTAACCAAAACTCAGAACCCACTGAGAAAAGTCAATCCAACAGAAACAACTGAACCTCAGTAAGACAGTGGAGTCTGCGATGTTTCCATCTCCCTTCTCTCCATGCTCAGGAGCATGGCAGCCAAAAGCCAACCGCACTGCAAACAGAAAGACCTGACATCTTTGGAGAGCTTTTAAAAGCACCATCACCACTGGGCACCAATATGGTCTCCAAAAATGGAGAAGTAGGGAATCCCAAGACTCTATTCCTCCCCCAAAGCAAGTAATGAGCTGGCAAAAACTGTCAGAATCAACTTCTGAAAAACTCAGGAATACAGTGAAAAACTTACAACAACCAGGGGAAGGCCTGGTGAAGACAGAAGCTGCTGCTTTGTGTAAGAGAGCACCGTGGTGTTTTAAACAACCTGCCTGCTATCTCCACACCCGAGACAGGCAGCAGTTACAAGAACAGTGGCCCACACTCCTGGTGCAGATTGCTAGGAAGCGATACAGACGTTCTTCTCCCAGGACCGTGGCTGTGAGTCTCCACCTGCCCGGCAGCTCCCATCAAGGACTGGTGCAAGGGCTTCCCTTTGTTTTGCCCGACTTGGAGCATTCCCAGAGCTAGGACGGGTCCCTGGGTGGCTTCTGCTGAAAACATTTAAAGGCAGAGCTACCGGCTACAGCAGCTGGGGCAAGAAACAATACTAGGACAAGCAATAAACACACCAAGAAGCTGGGGAGGTAAGAGGCTGGGAGAAGAGACAAATGTGGGAACAAGAGCTGTTAAAAAGCTTCTGCGTATACCAGGCAATTAAGAAAGCCATGCAAATGCCCAAGGGCAGGACACACGCCCAGAAAAGGCCTGAGAAGACTAAGCTTTCACATCTGGCAGGTCTTCTGGCTCCAAACAAGCAGGATGTAAAAGCTAGGGTAGAGCTGTAAAAGGCCTGGACACGCATTAAAGGAAGACCCCAACACAAAACCAATCTGCAAAGACTAGGAGAATATTTTTTTCTCTTTTCTTTTCTTTTTATTCCTTTTACTTTTGTCAGCTCCAAGTGTTTAAGGGAAATCTGTCAAAACACCAGCTGACCACTAAGCTAACAGAACAGATGCTTCAGTGGCCACACATGACAAAGAATACAGACTTCACAGAAACAGTTAAGAAAAGACACTAAACAAGCAAACAGCAACAACCCACAACATGCAGCAAGAACAAACTCTGAGGAAGGTGAAGAACCTGATTTCAAGAGTTGCCATCCACAGCTGCGCCCCCTCCAACAGAGCCTGGATGGATCCCAGTCCTGGAGGCCGGGGATCTTCCTTGAGCCCTCTGTCTCAGCCCTCAAGTTGGTACTGCTCCTTATACCTGCTATTCCTATATTCCTTAGAGTTCTCTTTAGTTCTGACTAGCCAATCTCTCATTACTCCAATCCCGTTATAGTTAACAATTATTTATATTAAAGTTTCCCTATTTAAGTAATTGTGTGATTTCTCTCTCCTGAGTGGACCCACACTGATAAAGACTTTTAGAAACACTAATCAAGAAAAAGAGAGAGAAGATACTACAGAGCCTAAAGACATTAAAAATAGAATATTTGGCAAAAAAGCAAGAAAAGAAATAAAAGGTATTAGGATTGGAAAAGAAATAAAACTGTCATTAATCTCAGACACCATGATAAAGCCATTAGAGTTAATAAGGGAATCTGGCAAGGTTAATGACTGCAAGGTCAGCATGCAAAAATCAATTGAATATATCAGCAACAAATAAAAAAATGAAATCTAAAACCACTACAATTTATGATAGCATCAAAAAAACCACTACATACCTAGGAGTAAATTTAATAAAAGATGTACAAGATCTCCACATTGAAAAGTAAAAAAAAAATAATTGAGGGGCGGCCCCATGGCCCAGCAGTTAAGTTAGGTGTGCTCCACTTTGGCGACCTGGATTCGGTTCCCAGGTGTGGACCTACACTACTCATCGGTGGCCATGCTGTAGTGGTGTCCCACATACAAAATAGTGGAAGAGTGACACAGATGTTAGTTCAGGGAGAATCTTCCTCAAGCAAAAAGAGGAAGATTGGCAACAGATGTTAGCTCAGGGCCAATCTTCCTCAGAAAAAAATAATAATAATAATTGAGAAAAACTAAAGACCACAATAAGCGGAAGGGTATTCTTTCATGGATTGGAAGATTCCATAATAGGTAAACGTAACTTTATACAAATCAAGTGACCTACACAGTCACCTGGTTTAGGTAACTAAAGGTAACATTACAGTATAAGAGAGAAAGGATGATCTTCTCAATAAGTTAT